AAGAACCGGGCTCCCTTTAGTCGATTAATGAGGTCGTTAATCAGCGGGAGCGGATACCGGTTCTTCACGGTCATCGCGTTGAGCGCCCGGTAGTCCTGGACGAACCGGAGGCTTCCGTCCTTCTTCTTGATGAAGAAGACCGGAGACGCCATTGGGGACTTGGACGGACGGATCCGGCCGGTGCTCAGCCCTTCCTCGATGAACACGTCGAGTTCCTTCTGCTCAAGGGGGGAGATCGGGTAGACCTTGCAGTTGGCCGGCTTTGCGTCCGGGACGAGTTCGATGGCGTGGTCCCACGTCCGGCGCTCCGGTAACACGTTGAACGACTCCTTGTCAAAGACGTCGGAGAAGTCCTCGACCCAGGTCGGAACCGATGTCCCAGGCGGGGCCGAGTTCCGGGCGAAGGCCTCCGCAAGCCGCTGGGAGACGGTGCTCCCGGCGCGGATTTCCTCGGCCGGAGCGAACGCGGTGTAGAGGATCCGGTCGCCTTCTTCGAGCTCGTCATCGTCATCGTCGTCCGGGTCCGGAGTGAGGTCCGGAAAGTCGTCTCCGTCGCCGTCTGGGTCGTACCCGTCGTCTCCGCACCACTCCTCCGAGTCAATGGCGCAGATAGACGGGACAGGACCTTCGCGGAGCTGCCGGAGGATCGCGGCGGAGATCTTCGCGCTACGACGGACGGCGCGAAGCTCGTCTCGGCAAGTGCTGCAGCTGGTCGGACAGCGGGTCATCCGGACTTCCTTGGTTTCCCAGTCGATCTCCGGGTTGTGCTTCTGAAGCCAGGAGTAACCGAGGATGACGTGCTGCTTCCCGAGCCGCGTCACGGCGAGTTGGATGCGTTCCGAGTGACCCTTGTAGTTGACGACCATATCAACTACTCCGGTGATGCCTCCGGACGCATTGGGCGTGCCGTCGACGTTGAGGACCGGGATAGGCTGGGAGAGCTTCCGGACGGGGAGGTTGCGAGAGATCACGTACTCCGAGTCAATGAAGTCTCCGGTCGCTCCGCAGTCGACCAGACCTTTCACGGACATCTTAGCCGCGGTTTCTACCGACTGCATCTCCAACGGAATGTGTAGGGAGTTCCGGCCCTCTACGGAATCGATAACGTACTGCCGGGGCAGTCTGCGTTCCCATCTCGGACGGTGGACGCGGGGAATGGAAGGGGTTTTTGCCTCCGGGGCGGGAATAGGGGGCTCCGGCCGGGGGACGGAAGCCGGAACCGGGGGTGCGTCTTTCGTTTCAACTGCTGATTTATTGGGTATATCTTTGTACAAGCAGGAGTAACGATTGGGGGCGCGACCAAGGGCGCACCGCTCACTCGACCGCATCCGGAAAACCCTCCGGATCTGCGTCTCCGGCGTCCGGCTCGGTCGGAAGCCCGGCGGTGGTAGAGAGGCGCGCGAAGAGCTCTCCGAGGAGGTCGTCACCGAGTTGACGGACGACCTCGTCCAGGACGTCTGCGTGCCGGACGTCCGAGGGGGTCGGGCAGTCTCGGGCGAGGTGTCCGGCCGCACCGCAGCGGAAGCAAGTGCGCGGCGTGAAGCGCGCGCGGGTCCGGTCGACTTCCATCGGAATGCCGGGCGGAAGGACGGGCGTTGGCGCGGGTCTGGGAGCAGGCGTGAAGGAGGGGACTGGGAGGAACGTCCCAGTGCGGGGGCGTGCGGCCGGAGCCGGGGCGCGAGTCGGGGGTGCTCCTGCTCGGACGCGGGCGAGGGCGTCGTACTGCCGGAAGGCGCGGAGACGCCATCCGGCGTAGTCTAGCAGCGCCGGAGCGGTTCCGGACGTGGTGATCGCTGCGTTGATCCTCGGGTCGAGCCCCGCTCGGTATTTGGTGACGCGGACGAGCGGATCCGTGTACCCGGCCGTGGCGGCGAGCTCCTCGAAGTCGTCCGTGTACCGGTAAATGTCGCGAGAGCCCTGGTAGTAGCTATGGGTCTCGAGCCGGAGGAGAGCTTGGTCTTGCTCGTTTTCCTCGACGAACCGGAGCCGGAACTCGGACTCGAACTCCGCCCAGGACGGGAAGGGGAACGGAACGATTGCGGACTGTCGTTCGGCCCATCGTCCGGCTGCGTCTCGCGCCATAAAGGACATGGCATACCGCACGAGTTTTTCCTCAACGAGCTGTCCGTGGACCATGAAGGCTTCCGGAACCAGTCGGAGGTATGTGAGGACGGAGTGGAGGAACATCCGTCCTTGGGTCCGGTCGCCGTCGAAGACGGCCGGGGGGTTCGGTCGGAGAACCGATTTTGCCACGGGGGTGAGGGTGGTGAAGTCTGGACCCACCGCCGGAGCCGGAGCGGCAGGGACGGGGGCAGTCGCGGGTGGATTTTGGTTGTTGTGTAAAACGCGGAGGAGTAGCGCTTCGATGTTTGCGAGAGAGCCTTCGACCGCGGTCAGCCGGGATTCGGGGTCGGCAGCCGGTTCCGGGATGTAAACATCCGGGAGCTCGGGTGGCGCGGACCCGCTTCCGGGCGTCGGGGCGTCCATCAAGGAGGAGGGGTCGAGATTGGAAGTCGGGGAGGCCGGAGCGCTAGCGTAGCGGTCCGAGTCCGAGTCTACACCGAACTTCGCAATCTTGACCAGTTGATCCCTTAGATCCTTTCTTCTGCTGTAAGGGCAACCTCAGCTCGGCGCAGAGCGCGGGAGACTAGCGGGAGAATCCGAAGTAACTCAATTGAATGGTACTAAATACAGGCTTCTAGAATACGCACCCAGCGGGAGAATCCGAAGAGAAGAAAGGATGAGGATTCTCACGCTAGGCGAGGTTTTTAAGTACTAGCCAGTAGCACGTGTCCGGAGGGATCGGCAGAGGTCTCAAGCTTGATCACACAGCACGTGCCAGTGAGAGCGGCCGGACGGACGGAAGGGAACAGAGTCCGGAGGGGCGGGAGGTGGTGTGTCTGGTGGAGGCGCAGGCTGGGGTGCGGGTCCGGAGGCCGGACGAAGGATCGGACGAGGTAGCGGGGCCGTGCGATGGGCCGGAGCCGGACGGACGGACGGACGGACGGACGGATGGACGGACGGACGGGTGGTTCCCCTGACACTTCCAAGCGGACGGACTCAAGTGTCGGATCGACTGTGCTTCAAGGTCTTTTCGTCTCGTGCAAGGGTGCTTCAAGCCCTCAGGTCTCAACACTCCAACTCAATGCTTGGGTCTTGTTCTCCGTCACCCGCCCCATTTGCTTACTCTCACATCACGACCCGCGCTTCATCTTGTGCTCTGGCAGGTTCTCCCTCAAAATTTTCAAAACCCTCAACTTCAAGGAGCAAGACTACTTCAAGCCTCCGATATCGCAGCTCATTTTCTGGTCACATCTGCCAGATCCGGGATTCGCAACAGCGTGGCGATGGGGCGAAGGGACGAGAATGTGGAATCAAAGAAGAACAGCAGATCGACGGCAGATCGAGTGGTGTGTTCTCTACCCTTCTCCCCAAATGTTGCTGACTTGGGTTTTATTTCGAGTTCAAGTCCCATCGCGTTCCGAGCCTGTCGCCCAGCTCCAGCGCGCGCGAGCCCGAGGTCGAGGTCGAGCTCACACTGCCTCGGCGCCCCCGCACCCCAAGTCGCCACTCCGGGGCCTACTCGGGAAAAACACGCGCCCTTCCCCTTCCGCCCGGACGCCTCCCAACGGCCGCCCTCCGACGTCCGTCGCGCTCGTCGGCCTCCTGCTGTGCGCTGTTTTCCCCAATACATGTACTTTTTGCCTCATAGGAATGCATATTGTGTTGTTTCTCTCTTGCTGGTGTTTATTAAGCTCCGTGCTGCGTATACCTGCAGTATGCAATGGTAGTTGGTAGCGGTCGTATTGCTCGATTTGGGGTTGCACAGCCCATCAATCGTAAGAATCTCTCATTGTTGGTCCTACGATATCACACGCGCATCACACTTACGAAGACGCAGCTTGCTGTCTGACGAAAATTGGTATCATTGTGGTATCAAAATCGTAACACCCCCAACCTTACAATAATCGTGCGTTACTTGGGCAGCCGTGTAGTCTATTGTTTACCGCGGGGGTCTGATCGGAGTGCTTCCTTATTATGTAATTCGGAGCTTCCCGAGGCACGTGCATCCTTTCTCCCGCCGCAGACGACACGTTTTCTTGCCCACTTCGTTACAAAATGGCCTTCTAATTTCCGCGATACGCGCTTTACATCAAAATGATCACATAGGACGACACTTTGACGTTTCCTTGACGCATATGTTGAAAGTTGAAACCAAGTACGCATACCGGACTCGGTCTGGCCTCAACAAATTTCTGGATTGCCAATTGTCTAATTTAGGAGTGCCAATAATTAACTTGAACCAAACAATTGCTGCTTACACTTCAGAGTGGCTGCATTGGAGGCGGGGTATGCTCAAGAGAGCAGACGCGTCTCAAGACGCGAGCTGCACGTGCCCCGGGAAGCTCCGAATTACCTAATAAGAAAGCACTCTGATCGGACCCCCGCGGTAAACAACATGTACAGACTTTATATAGCGAGGTACGAGCATTTATATAAAATGTCTGTCTACGAGAGACTAATTATTTCCTTCAATTGTCAATTTCCTTTTTCGGCACTGGCCACCATCCCATCAATTTCTGCTTCAAATGTTGATGTGATCCCTTGAATATGAACAGACGGGGAGGACTTTCTAGCATGCCAAGTAGCAATACCAGTACTCTTACGTATGAAGTTAGAATGTTATGAAAGGGGAAAAAATTGACTCGCATTTAAGAATAATGTCGTCGCGGTTTCAAGCTCAAGATTCATGTTTGATTGTTGGGAAAGATTCATTTCTACAGGATGCAAATGTGATTCAATGGACTTGAGAAACTAATACAAGCCGAATAGATACCAAAGCAAGCTTTGAGTAAAATATCCAATAGTCGTCGCCCTGACTAAGGTGAACCGGGCCTTTTGTATGTATCTCTGACCGGTGAAAACTGCTCACAGCAAGAAGAGCGAGGATGCAAAAGTGAATCTGCATAAAAGCAAAAAAGCAAAAAAGCAAAAAGAAACGACCATGGTGGGACTCGAACCCACAGTCTCTGCCTTTTGATCCCGGGTTCGAGTCCCTCGAAAATTCGGAAAGCAACGCAGTAACCATTTTGCCACACGGCCATATTAAGTTGTTACTTCCTACTCGTTATTACCTGGGATAGCCGTTTCCCAGCCAAAGCAGGCGCGGATCCAGTCTGGACGGAGTCCACAGTCCGACTGTGGACGTCGTGTGTAGTGTTGCCACAAGCTGAGGTAAAGGTAGCTCGGGGCCATTGCGGTTTGGGTATCGATCAGCATGCGGGCGACTACGTTATTGCGTCCCTGGGATACACCGGCTACAAGCTACGAGCGACGGCGGCGCCTTCTCCCTCTTCTACTCTCACTGTGCTTCACGTTCCCTTCCTCCATCTTCCTCCTTTCTTTTTCTTTGGCTCATACTCGTTTCTCACTGCGTAGCCGAGAGTAGTAATGAGCAATTGCTTCAGCGGTCACCGCCAAACAATTGGACTGCCTTCGCCCACCATGACGTTACTTGGCGAACTCCCTCCAGAGTTGATATTTTACATCGTGACTTTTCTAACTCAGCAGAAAAATCTTGACCCGGAATACCTGGGCCAGCCAAAGTTGCAACTCGTCCCCGATCTCGCGTCCATCAACGCTCAAACAAACACCACCTTCCACGATGCTTTAAATCAAACTCTGTACGGCGTTTGTGCCACCGTCGAGCCTTTTGGAAAGCTGGCCCTCCTCTTACCATGGAACATGAGTTGAAAACCTCTTTCGACAAACTCTTTGCCGCTGAGGTCAGTCTCGTCTCGACCGCGATTTTTACCTGCACGATCATCAAAGATTCCACATCAATAATGCGATGCGAAATGTAAATTCACATGCTATCAAATTCCTAAAATAAATTGATCAGTGAGTAGCATTTTCCGCGGGCGGACATCATAGACAAAGTCTCAAAGAAATGGTCCCCTGACTCTTGAGGCCTGAGCCTTTCAGCAAATGTATAAGTTCGACCCTTATTCCCGTCACATTCTGAATCTTCCCCATGCTTTCTTCCTCGGCATCAGATCCCTCAGGGACTCTTAGCGACAATTTGAAGAAAAAGAAGCCAATTGACCTGCCTGACGCGACGACTCTCTATCGATTTATACTGAACCGAGTGCGTAACGAGGCCCTCTCGTATATGTCGCCGGACCACTGGGATCGACTGGTTGCAAAGGCGGTGGAAGACCCCGAGCTCCCTTCAGCTAAGGTATAGTATTTTGAAATATTGTCCTCGTTCTCATGCGGTAAATACAGCGGGTTTTGTCACAGCCTTTCACGGAGGCCCACAGCTTTTATTCGTCGGTCTTCCAGGACGGGGTCGATGACATCCCTCTGCAGGAGGATGAAGACGCCATGGACTCGGAGGATGATATGAACCCCCTAAACGACATCGTCGAGGCTGCTACTGCACTCAGGAATAACAAGCTTTGGGAAGCAGTTAAACAGCACGTTGTCATGGACGTCAGTATCTCAATAACTTTCTTCTTCATAATCTGCTCACAACCTTATTGAATAGAACGAGACATCGTGTCGTACCGCGATAGATCTCATACTACTGTCTGCCGTAACTGTGGCACAGAAGAGAGTCCAAGATGACCGCACGATCGACATTGCGCTTAGCGAACGGCACGAGCTTCCGCCGTCGACAAAGAAGAACCTCCCAAGGAGCTGGGTTGTAATTCATCAAGAGGTAAAAATACCTAACCAGCGCCTTTTACCCACCCTCGCTGCACACGGGGTGCTGGATTACATGGTGGGGGTAGCGCCTGCCCAGAGGGGTGCGTTGATGACCACATTCATGTTTCTTCTCTTCAAGCAATTTATTTAATTATATTTTCAGTGCTCGCTCACCTCCGAAAACGTATACACCAACACTTCCCCCGCGATTACATTTTTCTGACTTGTTTACAGTGAATGTTTTCCTGACCAAGAGCAGTGTATATAAGAGCACCTTGAACCATCAACACGTCCGCGTCAACATTGCATCGGTGAAAGAAGCCAAGGCTGAGGCAACATTTGCCAATCCCAAGTCGGAGATGCAGGCGATAGCCCAGGGGGCGTCTCTGTGTGTTTTCACGTGCGTATTCCATTAAAGTTCCCAATATCTTCTCAACCCCGCAATGCAGTAAGCGAGCATCTATAATCAACTGCTTGACGGACGGCACACGCTGGAAGTTCTTCCGCGTGACCAAAACGCCCGACCAACCTGCGAGCACCATGGAGTCGTCCTCCACTTCGCTATCAACGGAGACCCCCAAGCCTTTCAAGGCCGCCAATACCCGGGAGCTCAATATATTCGCTCTAGGAGATCTCGAGATCATTTTAAGACTGCTCGTATTATCCGTTCGTGTTCGTTGCTTTTTCTATTCAATTCTCTCACATTATGTATTCCGCTATTACACAGATCTTATGCTCTGCGGACGAGTTTGTCGATGCGGCAAAAGGAACATAAACCCATTGTATGTACACCTGCAAAAACATCATGACCTTTGTCCCCGCTTCCCGTTTCGCCTTTTGCTTTTCTGGCTTTGTGGAGACAAACGAACTGAAGCGCTGCAAGTCACACGCCAGGTAGCATTCAAAGATCTGAGTTGGCGGCGCGTGCCTCTTCCTTGCCTTCCTTTTTCTCTGTATGCCGCACCTTTGTCCCTTCGTGTGCCTGTCGCCACGCGCACCCGTGCTTCGCGGCGCTACCCTGGCCAACTGCGGCCTTTCTCTTTCTCTGACTCTCCTTGCTAGAGGGGCTACTGCGATGTACTGTAGTAATCGCCGCGCGGGGTTACGAGCGCGCAGCCCATGCGGCTTGCCTTTCACCTTGCGCGCCGGGCGCAGGGTTGTGTACAACACTTGTGCGTCTTTGGTACAGCCTCCCACCTTGTCGCATCGCGCGGGGTGCCCTGTTTCTCTTCCTGCCGCCGGTGGCTACTCTGTGTTTGATTGTGTTCCTGCCATGCGACCTTCGAGCTATTGCAGTGTGGTTATCGGTCAGCATGCGGGTTAACAGATACTAAGTTGTGTTTGGAGCACCGGATGGATCGTGCGGGCAACTGGTGAGCGAGAGAAAATTTGCCGATATTTGCGACAATTCCGGCGTGCCCCCATATTCCTCACGACCGACATTGACGTGGCGCGCGCAGGTGCATTGCACAGACAGCGCCCGCGTTTGCAAAAGCTGCGATTGAGCTCCTGCTTCAGTTCGGAGCCGTAACGGTCGACAAAGCCGACGCGTGGGGAAAAACACTTGTGGATTTGGTGATAGCTGGGGGTAGAGATTTCTTGGAGGCCAAAGCTAGGGGAAATATTTGAAGAATAATAGCTGATCGCAATTGCAATGTCTGGTGCTTACTATAAGTGCTACGCAACTATAATTACAGTGAGTTCAAATCAGTTGGTTTGTACATAAATGCAGCAAGATAGAGGCCAAGTCAATCGAAAGACGAGTCAGACTAATCAAAGCAACGGAAAAACGGAGACAAATGGATCAATCGTCGCTATCGTCATCGACCTGTCGCAATGTAAGCAGTATATCGAAAGTACGCAGAAGGGGAACGACGTACGACCATCTTCCCGCGCGCCTTGGTCGCAGCAGCGCGGGACGATCTCCCTGTCGCCGCAGGCGCAAACGTCAGCTGCGACCGCGCAGGCGCACCTTTTTTCGCAGGAGCCGCCTTCTTCGCCGCCCTAATTCGACGCGCGCGGTCAGTGAGAACACAGAAAAGAGACAGAGAGATCCCACGTCTTCTTTGCGGGCTTCGCAGGCTCGTCCGAATCCTCATCGTCGTCAATCTCAATCACCTCGTCATCCGAGTCGCTCTACATGACAAAAATAATGATAATGAGACAGAGGGAGGAAAGGAAGAATAAGCAACGAAACACGCACAACGGCCTTCTTCCCGCGCTTCGCCGGCGCCTTCTTCGGCGCGGCCTTGGCCTTTGCAGGCGCTTTCGCTGGGGCCTTCTTGGCGGGCGCCTTCTTCTTCGGCGGTGGCTCGTCCGAATCCTCGTCAAAGTCGGAACCGCCGCCGCCTGCGCGAACGGGCTCGTCCACCATCATAGAGTCGTCCGATTCCGAGGCGGCGGCCTTGCCCTTGCCTTTGGCCTGCGCAGATCGAAGCACATCAGCATGCGAGCATGAAACGAGCGCGAGAAGGGTCGGGACGGACCTTGGCACGGGCAGCTTGCTTGTCTTTAACCTTGTCGGCGTACGCCTGGTCTTGCTCCGCCTTCGCCTTTGCAAGCTGTGACAGGTGTTTGAGCAAAGCGAGCTGAATGGCATTGTCGGCTCACCATCTCGTCCAGCTCGTCCTCGCCCATCTCGTCGTCTTCGCCCGTCGCCTGCGCGCTCTTCGTGAGCTTCTTGAACGCCTTCGCCACATACCTACCGCGCAAAAACGCGTTAGTCGTGCATCCAAGGAGCCGAGCACGGGCCACCTACGTCTGAATCGCATGCGTATCGTCCTTCTCCACAAACATCGCAATCGCATCGCTCATCTCCATCTCGCCGAGCAGCTGCAGCTCCTGCGCCTCCAGATACTTCTTCACGAGCCCCGCCACCCGGACGCGCGCGAGCTTCTCCGAGCTCGTCAGATCCGCGTCGGCCGGGTCCTCCAGCTCCGGCTCCTCCGCCGTCACCTTCCCCTTCGCCGCGCTCTTCTTCCCGCGGTGGAACACCAGCACGTCGCGCGGATTCGCCAGCTGCCCCTGGAACTCCTGCCCGAACCGGATGGGGTTCGACATCTCTGACACGCCCGTCGTGTCGACCTTGAGCCGCACGAGCGGCAGCATCGGCTCGAGCGGCTCCTCGCCGTCCTCTGCCGCGCGCGCGTTGCGCTCCTCCCACTGCTCGTTCGCCTTCTCGATGAGCGCGTTGACCTTGTTTTTGAGGAACTTTGTGATCTCCATCTGGTCCCCGAGGTTGAGGCCCTCCTCCTCGGCGATTTCGCTCAGCACGACGCTCTCGAGCACGAACGGGCGCACAGTGCGCAGGGGGATGGGCGTCATCTCGAACTCCTTGCCCTGGATCGAGAGCAGCGCGACGTGTCTGCGGATCGTGAATAAAGGAACACGAC